CTCCACAGGGAAACACCGGGTCCATCAGGGTCTGGTTGGGTCCAGTTTTGTGGCCCACAGGAACAGGTTGATGTGAGGCTGACTGCTGACACTGCATGTTCTCATAAACAGTCACATCCAGTGAATTACTGATCAGTTCCTGGTTTATGAATACTGCATGATCAGCTGACAGTTTGCTATTTTTAATCTTCCTCTCTGATGTCTGTGTCACATAATTATAATATCTTTATAAAGATAGGAGTGTTCTTACTCAAGTTTACATTTCTGAGCCCTTGGGCCTCTTTACAATTAATTTAGTTTTTTTTAACGGGTCCGTGTGGGTCAAACCAACATACATGAGCTCTTATCAGAACCTGAGTTTGAACTCAGTGGAAGCTACAGACAGACTTGAACTTAGAAAATGAATACACAGGCATTTCCTGGCGTCCTGTAGTACTTGCATTGCTACTGGTTATTTCTGTCTGGGATAAATGGTCTGTTGCTGTAGGAAGAACTCAGCAACATAAGTATCTTTCCGTCTGATTGTCTAAACTCCAGGAAATATTTCCGCATTTTCTGGACCTTCTGAATGAGTTAAATCTGGTCTGTTTAAATACAGAAACACTCTGCTGACTGGGTACACTGCAGAAATGATAATCTTATAATAATAATAAAAAAAAAACAAAGCATAAGTCAGTCTTGTTGTCCACATGTTGGAATCCCATTGAAGCAGTTTCACTTCAGTCTAATGTACAGTCATAGGAAAAAGAAAAAAACTGCCCTCTTTCAGTTCTTTTTTCCCTCTAAAAATAACTTGTTTTTTATATCAGCCTGATGGTTTAGTGGTTAGCACTGTTGCTTCACAGAAAGAAGGCACTGTGTTTGATACCTGGTTTTAGACTGGGGTTCTCTGGGTACTCCAGTGTTTTCCCACAGTCTAAAAGCATACATTTCACGTTCCCTTCAGGTCCAGGCCTCCCTCTCAGTGTGGGATTTGCATGGTAAATAACGTTTTTTTTTCTTTCAATGATTTATACAAATGTTTTTTTTCTTCTTATGCAAAATCAATTTCTTTCAGCTTTATATAATGTCATTCCCTCATCAAAGACACCGTATATATTTAAGTATAATTCGTAAAATTAAATCCAAAAAATCATCCAAAGTTGGGGGGTAGTACTATACTCGGATAAATATTTTTACTTATGTATTTTAACTGAAATATTGGCTTCATTCACAAAATGCCTGAGTCCAGAAATGAGACCGCGTCGTAAAAATCATTTGAAACGAGCTCACCTCTGACACTCCTCCGTGATTCAGAGTGAGATAATAACAGATCCAGGCAGGAGACATGATGTGGAAAAAGGGGGGGAAGGTATTCCTGCAGCTCAGTAATGATAACGAACAAATGACATTAGTGTGTGACCGAGCCGCTCCTCTAAGTACAACAAACATGTTCATCTGTAATGGCTGCCATCTACCGGTGTTCTGAAAAAGTTTGTATCCCTGAAAAATGTTTCCCCACCAGAGGGGGCGCTCACGAGTAGGAAGTAATCTGCTTTTCCCCCACAAGATGGTCCAAATCTCATGTGAAGTCTCTGACTTTTGTGTTGGCGCCTCCTGGTGGACTATGTGTAAAATGCCAGAATTCATATGATCCACTAGGACTTTTTCATCTGAAAAAAGAAAAAGAAAAAGCAGAGATGTGATCCTAAGGCCACCAAAACGGATCCCCTCAACACCTTGGCTGCTCCTAGAAATTCTGTCCATAAAAGTTTTGAACAGAATTAGTGACAAAGGGCAACCTTGGCAGAGTCCAACTCTCACTGGAAACGAGTCCCACTTACTGCCACCAAGTTCTGACACTTCGTACAAAAACCTAACATTCTGTATTAAAGGGCTTAGCACCCAATACTCTCGGAGTACCCCCAGGATCCACAGAACTACCTGAGGAACACAGAACACATGTAGACTGGTTGAGCAGTCTCTCGTGCACCCTCCAGGACCCTTCTGAGTGTGTAGAGTTGGTCCAGTGTTCTACAACCAGGACGAAAACCACACTGCTTTTCCTAAATTTCAGATTTGACTATCTGGCAAACCCTCCTTCCAGGACCCTTGAATACACCTTACCAGGGATGCTTAGAAGTGTGATCCCCTGTTAGTTGGAATTAGGCTATGGTACAAAGTCAAATTTACACTGCCTGGCCACAAAAGAAGTTCCCACCAAAGAAAAGTTGCACACTAATATTTCATTGAATCGCTTTTAGCTTTGTTTACAGCATGCAGTCACTGTGGCATTGTTTTGATGAGTTAGTGCAATGTCACAAGATCGATTTCAATCCAGTGTTGCATTAATTTTCCACCAAGATCTTGCATTGATGATGGTAGAGTCTGACCTTCTCCAGCACATCCCAAAGATTCTCAGTGAAATCTGTGGAGGCCAGTCCACAACAAACTAACAAGCTAAACTGTTGTCCTCCATCCATATTTTCAGTTCCAGGCTGAGTCATTTCTACCTTCTCCTCTCTGTCAACGCTCTCTGGTTTCATTTAAAAGAGTCGATCATCAGATATTGTCCAAGACTAACCTTCAGAGTGGATATAGCTCACGTGCAACCTCTCACTGGAAAATCTAGTGAATGTCATCATTTAACCAGAGAAACTATTGTTAAGTTTTGTTTTAGAACTGGTTTTAAGGTTAATGCATTTACAGCATAAAGATTTCAATGTAACATGTTCTTAAACTTATAACATTGTAAATTCATCTGTTGTTGAACTTCTGCCCTACTTATTAGTCAGAAAGCTCAAAGTACTCATTGATTTTATATCTGATTAGTGCTAAAACTGTTTAAGTTTATTATCATTATTTATTACTGTTTATTTTTTCTGTTATAATTGATTATTTTCTCAGTATTCTTTATACTGTTCTCTTTATTTTTGGAGGGTGCTTTTCTTATCTATTTATTTTGCAGTTTGTTTTTAAAATCAGTTTAGAAGAACATGTTTATAAC